GCCCGGGCTGCATGGTGGCGCAGTGGGTATCACATTCGCCTAACAGCAAGAAGGTCGCTGGTTTGAGCGAGTCAGATGGCATTTCTGTGTGGAGTTTGCATGTTCTCCCCGTGTACACGTGGGTTTTCTCCAGGTGCTCCGATTTTCCCCACAAGTCCAAAAAAAACAAAAAAACAAAAAACAACATGTGGTATAGGTGAATTGGGTAAGCTAAATTGTCCGTAGTGTGTGTGTGAATAAGTGTGTATGTTTCCCAGTGATGGGTTGCAGCTGGAAGGGCATCCACTGCGTGAAACATATGCTGGATAAGTTGGCGGTTCATTTCACTCTGGTGACCCCAGATTAATAAAGGGACTAAGCTGAAAAGAAAATGAATGAATGAATAAATGCAGCCTTGGTGAGCAGGAGAAGCTTACAGTATTTTAAAACATTTAAAAATGCTACTGATCCCCAAACTTTTGACCGGTAGTGTATATTTTAGATTTTATAGAATTTTAGATTGCTTAATGTGTTAAACAATGACAATGCTTTAACAGAACAGTTAAGAAATTAATATTTGGTAAAATAACCCTAATTTTTAATTACAACAAATACAAAAAAATAATTATTCTGACCATATTATATACTGTATACAAAGAGAGAAAGAGAGAGAGAGAGAGAGAGAGAGAGAGAAACATTTAGCTTAAATGAATCATTGTAAATATTCTGACTATTATTATTTATTATTACTGTTTTATTCAAAAATATTGACTGTTAAATGTAGAGTTTATTCTAATTTGTTATTTAATTATTATTATTGTTATTATTACTAATATTCTTTTTACTACTACTACTATTTACTGTGTTTAAATATATATATATACATATACATTATATATATATATATATATATATATATATATATATATATATATATTTAAACACAGTAAATAGTAGTAGTAGAAAAAATGGGGGTATACTCATTTATGCTAAGTATTTCAAATGGTCTTAATTTTTTCCATACCTGTATGTATCAGGCTATATGTGCTGTGCTATGACTTTCCTATTTATGACCAATTCTTGAATCATTTTTGTCAAATGTGTCTTTTTTTCACAGAGTGTCAGAGCAAAAGGTTCAAAACAAGGTAGGTTGGTGTTTCCATTGTGTCCTCCCACACCTCAACCACAATGTGTCATGCTCAAGCAAAGTTGCCCTCTCATGTACTCTGTAGTGTTTGTCACTGTGCGACAGAGATAAAGAGGGCATGCTATTATTGGTCGTCTGTGTACACAGCTGTGTTTAATTTTACAGAGCCTCTTTCTGTGGCTCCGCTGTCTCTGCCCGTCTCTGTAACCACGCCAACCATAGGCCAAGGTGAGTGACAGCACAAATCCTCTGACAGTGATGGACATCAGTTCACGAAAATGCATATGCAAGACCATATAACCTCAGTTTATTGCTCTTTTGCTAATAAAGTAGAGCACCAGATGGGATACAGCAATCAGTTAGCAGCAACCGGGCAATTGGAGAACCAGTCAAACAAAGGGGCAGAGAAAACTTCACTGGTCAGCAAAGCAAGGAGCAAGGTTCAACTTCTTAAGTCTCTTAATTTTGGAACATGTTGTAAAGGGTTTGACATGACAATGGCATTAAAAACGTAAAGTTACAGTGCTCTGCATAATTGAGTACACCCCATTTTGAAAATGAATATTTGTAGTCATTTCTTAGTGAATTGGCAATGTATTTTAGTGCATTAAAACAGATTTATTAAACTGATATATTTATTACAATTATATTTTAGTGACCAAATATATTTATAAATTGAAAGATAATACAATTAAATTCAGGCAAAATATTGCAAAAAAAATAAATATTACAACCTACAAAATGTTTGCCTCTCTTGATTTTTCTTCTTTTCTAAATTTTGTATTTAATATTTTTTCTATAACATATAAATTTAGGTGTACTAGTTTTTGGACTGTTATCATAAGGTATTTTGTTAGATACGCTCCAGTATTGGCTTCAGTACATTGTATGGCTTCCTGTTAAAATATGAATTTAAAAGATAGATTTGTAAGGTGTGTGCTTATATATGCTGAGCACTGTATTTTTATTGCAATTTGCAAAATACATTTTTTTTTGGTTTTTATTAAACTTACATACTAAAAATGTATAGCCTGATGCACTTTAAAAGGGCCAGATTCCACTACACTGCTTTTCAGTGCCTTTCTATTTAAATGTGATAAATGGACATTGTACTCGTCACATCTTTTTCTGCATCTCAAGCACAAGCACTGAAATTTTAAGACACTATATCAAGCTGAAAAATGCACATTGCAGTACATCTAGCATTTTTTGACAACTTTAACTCTTGTTTACATAGAACAGGTTTTTTCATTATGTTCCATTGCATTGAAATAGTTTTATGTTTTGTATTAGTGCCAGATAAACAAATACCTGTTTTACATATTTTTTAAAAATTTTAAAAAGTGAGATGCTGCATTCTTTTCTCATGTCAAGCATCAGATTGCATTGCTCTTCTAATGAATGCAATTTTTACACCCAAACAATGGGTTAAAAATATCATTAAAAATCAGTTTGTTTTAGTTAAAATTTTGCCCATGCGATAAATAGGCACGCCTGACTGTTGTGTTTGTGTATGTTGCAGCAAACTGCACATTTAATTATTGCACAATACATTGTGTCAGGTTAAATGCTACTGCATTTTGTGAAAGCTACTGCATCCTTTAAGAGCCTTTTTTCAGATTTTCTATTATTTTATCTACAGTATGTAATCATGCGCTACAAAGATGTGTGTCACATTGCACTTGCATCTTTCTGTGTAATTACAAAAATGTGGCATGCAATTTTTAAGAGCGAAAACCGGTTCTGGTTGAATAGTCTGTTGTGTAGAGACAGATCCTTGCAAATTCATTATGTGTTTCTTTTCTATTGCAGAGTTTCAAGCTTTTAAAAGGAAAACAGAAGCGTATGTATAATAAACATTTCTACATTTCATGCTGCTTAAATCTGTTTAATAGAATTTTAATAAAATATACATTTGATGGATAAAAAGGTTTTAAAGTATGAAAATAAAAAAAGGTGATACAGTTGTATTTATTTCTGTCATTTACAAGTGTTTTGTATGAGCAAAGTATAATTACAAACGTTTTATGAATATTTGTTTTATATATAATTTGTTTTATATATAATATATATAATTTATATAATATATGTTTTCATGAATATTTAGAGAAAAAAGACCCTTTATATATATTCATTTATTGATTTTCTTTTCGGCTTAGTCCCTTTATTAATCTGGGGTTGCCACAGCGGAATGAACCGCCAATTTGTCCAGCATGTTTTTACACAGCAGATGCCCTTCCAGCTGCAACCCATCTCTGGGAAACATACATACATATATATATATATATATATATATATATATATATATATATATATATATATATATATAAATATATATATATTGTCACGGGGAGAAGAATCACACAACAAGTGAGAGCTCATATAAGTGCCCCGGAGGGTGGTTTATTTACAAAAGGTTCTTCCAGTGGTGAATTTAGGTTGGTGGCTTGTGTGCTCTTTGTGCTCCTTTCCCAGTGTGACAGTGGATTATTGAAGTGCCTCTGTGGTTCCGGCAGGTTCTCAGCTGCTGTCTGGGAAAAGAGAGAGAGCGAGTTAGTGCTTGTTCTCCTGGAGAGACTTCTCCCCGTTCTGCTGTGTTGCTGCAGTTTAAATGCAAGCCGGCTGATGGGCTGCAGCTGGGGCCGATCAGTCTGAGTTGAGGGCTTGCAGGTGTTTCTCCTTAGTTTCCTGGGCGACGCTGATGATCCTTTGGGACGCTCGTCACATTCCCCCCCCCTAAGCGTCGTCCTGGTCCGAGGGGTGATGTGAGCCAGTAGGGGTAATTTAGGGGTTGGGAGGGGAATGACCCCTGACAGACCTGCAAAAGCTGCCCAGACCCGAGAGAGGCCATCTGCATTGGCGTTAGCGGCTCCAGCCCGATGACGTACCACAAAATGGAAGTCCTGGAGAGCGAGGAACCACCGAGTCACCCTGGCGTTAGTATCTTTGGCCCGGGCCATCCATTGTAGGGGAGCGTGGTCAGTGACAAGGGTAAAGCTGCGGCCCAGGAGGTAATATCGCAGCTCCAGAACTGCCCATTTTATGGCCAGAGCTTCTTTCTCCACTGTTGCGTAGTTCTTCTCGGCTGGGAGCAGCTTCCTGCTAATATACAAGATTGGGTGTTCCTCACCTTCCTGTATCTGGGACAGGACTGCTCCTAGTCCTGTGTCCGAAGCATCAGTTTGCAGCAGGAAGGGGCAGGCGAAGTCCGGGGCCCGAAGAACTGGCTCAGATGTCAGTGCCATTTTTACTTTGTGTAGTGCCTCTTCTGCAGCAGTCGTCCAACAGATCTTCTCAGGCTGCCCCTTCCTGGTCAGGTCTGTAAGGGGGGCGGCTAGAGAGGCAAAGTTAGGTATGAAGCATCGATAATATCCCGCCAACCCCAAAAAGGCTCGTACCTGGGTTTTTGTTTCCGGCTTTGGTGCATTACGAATTGCTTCCACCTTCTTTTCTTGGGGCTGGATTAGCCCTCGTCCCACCCGAAAACCCAGATATTTGGCTTCATGGAGCGCAAGGTGGCATTTGCGGGGGTTGGCGGTGAGTCCAGCCCTTCTGAGTTCCGACAGCACTCTCCGCAGGCGATCTAGATGGTCTTCCCATGTCTCAGAATGAATGACAACATCATCTAGGTATGCGGCAGCGTAGGCTTGGTGAGGGCGAAGGACAATATCCATGAGCCGCTGGAAGGTGGCGGGAGCTCCATGCAGGCCGAAGGGAAGGGTCCGGTATTGCCAGTGGCCACTAGGGGTAGAGAAGGCGGTCTTGGCTTTGGCTTCCTCAGATAGGGGTACTTGCCAATAACCTTTGGTTAGGTCCAGGGTTGAGATGTACCGGGCCCTTCCCAGGCGATCCAGCAGCTCATCCACCCGAGGCATGGGATATCCGTCAAACTCTGAGATCTCATTGAGCCTTCGGAAGTCATTGCAGAAGCGGAGAGTGCCGTCAGACTTTGGTACCATTACGATTGGGCTGGACCATGGACTGCGTGACGGCTCAATCACCCCTAACTTCAGCATTTGTTCTACTTCCTCTTCAATAGCCTGCCGACGAGCTTCAGGGACCCGGTAAGGCCGTTGTCGAATGATGTTGCCAGCTGGAGTGTGGATATCATGCTTGATAATGTTCGTCCAACCCGGGAGTACTGAGAACACATCAGAGAACTGACTGACCAGGTGATGGAGCTCTCCCTTTTGGATAGCCGAGAGGTGAGGGTTGTCATCTACAACCACGGGATCGGAGGTGGCGAGGGCTGCAAGTTGGTCCCTGGTACCCACCCATTTTTTTAGAAGATTGATGTGATACAGTTGGTCAGCTCTTCTTTTTCCAGGTTGCCTCACCCGATATGTGACTGGCCCAATTTTTTCCAGAATGGTGAAGGGGCCTTGCCAGGTGGCAAGAAACTTGCAGGCAGCATTCGGGATCAGGACCATCACTCGATCTCCGGGCTGGAACTCCCGTGGTTGGGCTGCCCGGTCATAGTGGCGCTGTTGGGCTTGTTGGGCTTTGACCAGATGCTCCCGGACTAACGGCATGACCCGGTCGATCTTCTCCCTCATCTGTCTCACATGCTCAACTATGGACCGATGGGCTGCCGGCTGCTGCTCCCAGGCTTCCTTAGCCACATCTAGAAGGCCCCGGGGCTGACGGCCAAAAAGGAGTTCGAAGGGGGTGAAGCCAGTTGAGGACTGGGGCACTTCTTGTATGCCGAAGAGGACATAGGGCAGCATGAGATCCCAGTCACGTTTGTCTTCAGCCACTACTTTCCTTAGCATTTGTTTTAGCGTTTGGTTGAATCGTTCGACCAACCCATCTGTCTGTGGGTGGTACACTGTGGTCCTTAACTGCTTCACCTTCAGTAGTCGGCAGAGGTCAGCCATTAACCGAGACATAAAGGGGGTACCCTGGTCAGTCAATATCTCTGCTGGGATACCGACCCGGCTTGACAGGAGGAAGAGCTCCTGGGCAATGGCTTTAGAAGTGGCTTTCCTGAGGGGGATTGCTTCTGGATACCGGGTGGCATAATCAACGATCACCAGAATATGCTCATGTCCCCGGGCCGACTTTGGCAACGGCCCAACCAGGTCCATCCCGATTCGCTCAAAGGGCACCTCAATGATGGGTAATGGGATCAGCGGGCTAGGGGGAGGCTTTCTGGGCGAGGTCACCTGGCAGGTGGGGCAGGCTTGACAGAATCGTTTTATATCAGCTTCCAGACCCGGCCAGTGGAAGCGATCCCGGATCCGCTGTGTGGTGTTCTCAACTCCAAGGTGACCGGCCATCGGGTGGGAGTGAGCCAGGTCCATCACAGTTTCTGTCTTGGCACGGGGCACCACAAGTAGCTGTTTCACCTCCCCCCTTCGCTGTGCGACGCAGTACAACAGGCCATTTTGAACTACAAAGTGCGGGAGAGGATGGGGTGATGGTTGAGTGTCTTGGCCCTCAATGACACGCACCTGGGTCCAACAATGTTTCAGCCGGTCATCATCCCGTTGTTCCTTAGCAAAGGAGCCCCCTCCCGTTACCTGCTGGAACACATCATAGAACAGATTAGAAGATTGGGGAGGGGGCTTACCGTCTCTCCCGCTGTCTGTGGCTACCAGTGCAGGCCGCTGATGAGGTCCTCGGCTGGCTCTCCATCTTCGGCGGCTTACTTGAAGGCTGGCAGGCTGCATTGTGGTCGCAAGCAGGCGGTCAAACCCCGGCCAGTCTCTTCCGATAAGGGCTGGGACCGGGAGGTCCTCCACAAGTCCCACCTCAATAGACCAAGCCCCCGGGGCTGCAGAGATTGTCACCCGTCGAGCCGGAACTTGTCGGGTGTCCCCATGGACACAGGTGATGGGAAGGAATGTTTTTGTGTTTCTACGTGGGGGTAGGAGATGAGATTGAACCAGACTTACTGCACTGCCTGAGTCAAGAAGGGCCCGAAGCGGTTTTCCATTGACCTTGATGTCGGCCTCAGGAGCTCCATATGGTGGGTCACTGTGAACAATACAGCCTGCCAACCATCCTCGCCCAGGCTGCGGGGGATCCGCAGATGGCATAGGCTCATCTCGTGGAGAGGGTGCTGCTGGCCTGTTGACTGGTCGTGAGGGACCCTCTGGTGTGCGTCGCTCCTGGACCACCCTCCGGGGGAACGGCACCATCCGCTCCCCTCCATCACGTTGTTGGGTTGCATCCGCCAATTCGATGGCCTCCACCAGGTCCAGTGAGGTTACGGGGTTCCTCATACCGACCGCCCGTCGGTGTGAGCGAGGGAGAGCTCGAAGCACGCGATCCACGATCACACGTTCCGCTACCTGTTCCGCTGTGGGACTGCCTTCCAACAACCAGTGGTGTGCCAATCGTGTGAGTTCTGCTATCTGGGCACGGGCTGGTGCTCGGGGTTTATACTCCCATTCAAAGAAACCCTGGGCTGCACAGATTGAGGACAATCCCAACCGGCTCAGGATTTCTCTCTTTACATCTGAATACCTCTCTGCTGAGGCCGTAGGGAGAGAGAAGTAAGCACGTTGGGCCTCGCCGGTTAACAGGGGGGCCAACACCTGAGCCCAGTCCTCGGGTGGCCATCCTTCACGATGGGCTGTGTTTTCAAACATTTGCAGAAAAGCTTCCACGTCATTGTAAGGAGTGAGCTTTGGCAGTATTTTTGTGGCCTGGGCACGGGGGTCTGGTAGCGGAATGCTTTGGGCGGCAGCGGCATGGAAGGCAGCGAGTTCCTGCTCAGTATTGCCCTGGCGTGTGGCAAGGTGCTCCACAATTTGTTGTTGGCGGATGCTAACCTCAGTGAGCCGTTGGAGAATCTCTTCCATACTGGGAGGGGACCGGGGGCCGTTCACCTGAAGATTATAGAGAAAAGCAACCAAAATAAATAAATATAATTCTAAATAAATAACTAAATAAATTGTAGGAGCCACACTAATGAATCACCAAAACTGGAAAAAAAAAAAAAAAAAATTATTATTTTTTTTATTTTTATAAATACTCCTAATAATAATTATGGTGTGGGGTAGGAGATCGCTTATCTGTGATTCTTCTCTGTAATTGCCCGCATTCTCCACCAGATGTCACGGGGAGAAGAATCACACAACAAGTGAGAGCTCATATAAGTGCCCCGGAGGGTGGTTTATTTACAAAAGGTTCTTCCAGTGGTGAATTTAGGTTGGTGGCTTGTGTGCTCTTTGTGCTCCTTTCCCAGTGTGACAGTGGATTATTGAAGTGCCTCTGTGGTTCCGGCAGGTTCTCAGCTGCTGTCTGGGAAAATAGAGAGAGAGCGAGTTAGTGCTTGTTCTCCTGGACAGACTTCTCCCCGTTCTGCTGTGTTGCTGCAGTTTAAATGCAAGCCGGCTGATGGGCTGCAGCTGGGGCCGATCAGTCTGAGTTGAGGGCTTGCAGGTGTTTCTCCTTAGTTTCCTGGGCGACGCTGATGATCCTTTGGGACGCTCGTCACAATATATAAAAGCAATATCACACGAGTAGCAGTGTAATATGGCCGTATATCGGCACATGTGGGACGCGTGCGTCGGGTCGAGGCCACAGGCCTTAGTGTCTCACCAGTGACGATATACAGCCATATCTTACTGTTACGAGTGTGATATTGCATTTATACAATAGTTGACGGCACAATCGTGTATATAAAATGTATGAGGAACTACTTTCTTCCTCCACTCATTCACATCTGCAGCTGACCGTAGGAACAGCAGAAATAGTTGCCAGTTCACAGACATCACTTCAGAGTTAGTATTTGAATGATTCTCTAGTGTGAAGACTAAATTGATAACAAAACAAGTGATATTAGCTCAAGTTTTAAGATTATAACGCTGAACGGTATGAAATACCATCAATCTACAGAGATTTCCCAGTATTTCTCTTTTGCAAACAGGATATTGAAATTAATCCTGAAAAAATAATGTATAAATACAGCACTACAAAATACAAAAGAGAGAGATCGACTTAGAATGTCACTTACCTGATTTATTAGGATTTGTTCAGCTGTAGTTTGAAATTTTTGAAATTTTTGTAGTTTTGAAAGAAAAAGCTGTTTTTCTCCTCTAAGCACTTATGCGATCTCTGTCTCCTGTGGCAGAACGTCAACTATCACTTTCTTTGGTCTGCTCAAACAGGCTGATGGCAGACGATCCACTGAATCCGATGCTCCGAAATTATAAATATTTTAAAATAGGTACTATCCTTATAAATAAACTGCATAGTTGCAATCTAAACAACTACATTCTCGACTAAAAAAAGACCTAAAAGTATATTCACTTCAACAGCAGCAATATTTGTCAAAGTGTCCTCTGCTTGTTGCTGTATGTGGGCAGAGTAATACACAAGGGTGAAGAGGCTGTACAAGTGCTATTATTTGCAGAATATCGCATGGCTATTGCATATTGTTGGCTATCAGTCAATCAGATTCAAGAACCAGAGAGAACTTTTGTGTGTGTGTATATATATATATATATATATATATATATATATATATATATATATATATATATATATATATATATGTAAATATTTTAAATATGTGTGTGCGTATGTATGCACACACACACACACACACACACCTGTATGGAGTTGAATAATTTTGGGCTAGACTATATTACAGTAAACTTCTATAAATATGAAAATCACTTTATATTCAATGTAATGCCCATCAAAGGAGAAAAAAAGCAGCTGTTTGAGGCTTTAACGTCATGTTACTGTTATTTGTAGCAAAAACGGCTCCGCCTCCAGTACCATCTTCAGCCTCATCTACAGCCCCGCCTCAGCCTGTCCCAACTTATGGTCCTGTGGGATTATTATTTTGTAAGTCATCTCTTGGTTTCATTACACAGTTTTTTTTTTTTTTTTACAGAGAGTGGAGATCAAAATGAGAAAACAACCTACCATTTCCCAAACTTCAAGGTCATTGATTAGTCCTGCTTGAAGTTATCTTAATATAAGTAAATGAGCAGTTTTTAAACCCATTTAATTAGTTATATATCCTGACTTCACAACTAAATCAGTCAGCAAATTATTTTACATGCAGGATAATAAGCCCCGACACAGAAAAGTGAATAAAGCAGTTCCGGGAAGCTAGAAACAATGCAATGGCATCCCAGAGACCTGATGTAAACCTGATTGAAAATTTCTGAAAAATCAATAGAGGCAAAGTTATGGCTAAAGAACACTACAGAGTCAGTGAACTGTGGAAGAGACTGAAGATCAAAGTCACAGCATAGCAGTAACTCAGGCTCAAGTCATTTAAAACAGTGACCTATCATTTTTTGTTCTCTCATTTTTCTCTCTTTATATAACTTCAAATTAATGTGATTTGAGAGAGATTTGAAAAGCCACCACCAGATGGAGCTACTCCATTCTCTAGATTTCTTTCATATTGATTTATCAGTGCCATCCTAATACATGACGGATGACTCTGTGTTTACTTTTCTATCTTCACAGCTTTTGGAACTCGTTTTGGAAAGCCAAAAGGACCTCGAAATAAGCCAGAAACCTGGGTCTAGCTCATACAAAAGGTTAACAACAACGAGAAAAAAAAAAAAAAAAAACAGCCTCACATGCAAGTGTAACAGAAGATTTTCTGAGAAAAGATTTCTTTCAGCTTTAGAGAGACTGTGTTTTTCAGGGATATCAGATTAACCTCACAGAATAGATGGACATTTATAAAGACTGTGCCTTTGTCAATGACTTCAACATCTTTAAAAGGTATAGCAGCCTTTTTAAACAGCATGTTGCAAATATATTTAAGCAACTCAAATGTAAATAAAATGATTGCATGTGTGCAACTAAAAATAATAAAAGGGATGAATGTACCGAAAAGTAGACACTTCTGTAATCTTATAACATTTTAATGTATTTTATAATGTACACAGTTGTAAGCAACCATAGCCAGTCCACCTTTTGGGTCACATCACGTCAGCCTTATTTCCGGAAGATGCCAGAAGATTATGTGAATAGCTTTTGTAAAGTGTATGGTCCATGACCACCTGTGTTTCCACTCATCGACATATTTTCAATTCCTGCTGCAGTCAGAGAGTCTTCTTTAAGAAATGCTTGACCTCGGTACACTCATAAAATGGTTTATTTTAAAAAAATACAGAAAAAGTCTATGCATTCCATTGCATTTTTACACAATTGAAAAGATCCACATGACAGTTCTATTAAATGTGACTTAGCATTTACAAAACATTACTTTGACTATGCTCATAATCGACCATCTAATTAGTCCTTAAAAATCAATGAAGTCAAAAAACCTTTATACAAATATCAAACAGAGCAAATAATGAATCAAACACACAGAGCATGCCTTGATCCCTAAGTGGATTTGTCCTATGTTACAAACGACCATCAAAAACCTGATCAACACAAAACAAAAAAGAAACTAGCTGCCAAAAGTCAGAAGAAACATAGAACGCTAAACCTTAAATATATCGTGAAATGGAAAAGCATAATGTGTGTGTGTTGTTGAGCAAAGGACGTGTCTGAAACCGTGTAGATGTGAAGATTCATCAGTGGATGGGATATTCAAGGTGAAAGCGTGAAGTGTTTTATTAAACAAATGCTAATATGCAGAATCTGAAACGGAGGAAGTGCCACGAAATTATTGTTATTTAGGTTTTCACACCTGCATATTTAATCTTAACCTTAATTATAATAAAAAAAGGGAAATATAAGAAGCTGATTTGATCAATATTGCACAATGTTTTACTATACGGTGTCTTTTTTTCCCCGTTCTCATCATTTAAATGATCACCTGCTGTTGATTCTGGATTAGTAGAATTTGTCTCTGGGATTTTTACGCACAAATACCCAATCATCACTTATTGCCAGACTATGAACTTGCATCTCAATGAATGCTTTGTACAACTTGAATAACATCAATTAGCTTAATAGCAGACGATTAAAGACGTGAGAAAAGGCACTCGTCTATACGGGATGCGTTTGATTAGATCGTTTTGTTGAAAGCATAATCAGTGTGGACTGATTTCCTTGCTGGTGTGAAATTACATTCAAATCAGTCATTAGCAATACTTGGCGTCAACAGAAAAATTACTGCCCATAACCATTAAATAATAAAAAGTTGCCTGCTTTAAGACTTATATCGGTTCAGAGGAAACACATGGACATGTGTGAAAAGATATCTGACAAGCAACTACACTCAAGAAGTGAAAGCTAAATTGCACTCATCAGACTAAATCGGATAGCATAGTCAGCCTAGAATGCGTATCATAAATTACTATGGAGAGCTCAAACACGTAGGAAACAAGTGTTATGCAACAGCATATTTCTTCTGCTACTATACTCATAAATAAATATCAAATGCCTTTCGGGTTTGATTTTGGGAGTAGATTATGGGAAGATCAACATACCATAA